AATACAGCCTGCTAGAGTTGTTACATACTAGTAACACTTTTAGGGCATGTGATTAAATACTTGCACCTTGTCAATATTCTGGCATTCTTTGATGGATTCATCCCATGTGATGCCGGCACACCACTTTCATTTAAAGTGACATACACTTTACTATAAATTTAGTTATTTTTTCACGTAGTCTTATCACTGGTCAATGATCACCTATAGAAGTCACATAATGTAATACAAAAATACTAAACCTTATTACCTGTGTGGTCTTAATATTTTCTACTCTGTAACACTTGATTATAAATACAATTTATTACATGTATAATTAATATTCTGTTCTACTAATTTTAAATTATGTCTGTGTTGTCAAAACTGTCTGTCTGTCTGTCTGTCTAAAATCTAAGTTTTATGCACACATCTGTCATACCATGTTTGTTCTCAACTCGTAAATTATTTATTTATTATGTATTATCATATGTAAACAGGATCAAGGTATACAGTTTTTTGTAAAATTTTGTTTTAAAGTGGGAGAGTTGTCACCTGCGCATGTGTCAGATGGCCATAGCGTGTCATTGTTTACAAACAAGTGTCTATCCATGAGCCTTTGCATTTTTAGCGTGTGTTGTTATCGTCGCTTGGGACTCAATTCCTGTACGTGCACAGGTGAAGACCCTCTCACTTTATGTATAGAAAAATTGTTAGTGAGGAAATTTGTTGTTATTGATTCTGTAATCATTCTTAATTAGAAATGAACAGACTAACATCCAGATATGTTGACAATGTGTGTCTCTGAAACATATCTTTAAACAAGTTTTGTTTACGTCTGAACTTGTTTAGAACCTCTATGAATCAAAGTCATTAACAAAATTAAACATACATGTATGTATGTATGCACTGTATTTCTATTTTCAAACCTTGTTCTGTTTTCTTTGACATGTGACTCTCAATACCTATTGCATTGCTTCACATGTTCACATGTTTTTTTAATACTGTTGTGTGTGTTTATGAAAATAAGTGTCTGTGTGTCCACATCATTCAACTTTGCTGTTATCCTGAATATTCAACTACCATATAACAACTTTTGAATCAAATTCATGGATTGAGGCTACGCCTTCTTCCACCATTGAAACTGTATGAACAATTATGTTTTGAAAACTTTATATGGGAATTTATATGGTAGGTGCAAGACCCTCTGTGGTATAAATCTCATAATCTTTTGTTTTTAATTTATTCTACTTTATGTGTGGCAAGTTCACAATTTAAACATTTCATATCAATTGTGACATTTAATTGTGAATTACATTTCACAAAAGAATAATCACATACATGTAGTTTTGATTAACTAATGAACCTAATTTTAATTGCAGCCTAATGGTCCTGAATTTGATGGTCAAGGACAACCTCTTTCTGAAAGCATTATACATTATTTGGTGTCAAAAGGAGCCAATGTGAATGCACAGGACATGTATGGATTAGCACCATTACACTATTCTGCAATGAGAGGTAATGATGTGGCAGCCAGAGAATTACTAGATTGCAGAGGAATCAATATTGAGGTAAGATAATTACTGCTGGAGTTATTTACATCCAAAGATGAATGATTACTAGCACTGAGTGCTATAAATGGTCAAATCACATAAAATTAAACAAAATTATAATAACCTGTTTTTTTTTGTTTAAATCTACAGGCTGTTGATAAACAGCAAATGACAGCATTACATTTGGCTTGTACCCATGGCAACACACAAGTTGCAAATATACTAATTGATGCCAAAGCTAACCTAAGGTGCACAGATGAAGAGAATGGGACTCCCCTGCATGCTGCTGCTATGGAAGGCCACTTAGGTATATGCAAATTGTTATTTAATGCTGCCTACCAGAAAGATGGATGGGTGACAATATCACAGGTTAGTATCCCATGATGCAGCATTCAAAATGACATACTTGATGTTATCTGCATGGGATTCTACATAATTTGACTTTTTCTATTGAATAATACTTGCATTAAATTGCAAAAATTGAGTCATGGTTTTGATGAATTAATCACTGTGAATCAAATTGTGGAACTTGCAGATGACATTTCTATTTATTTTTCACAAGTTCAATTGACGTTGACTATATACATTGTCAATTTCAGATGGTGACTGATACTGACATAGAAGATAACACAGCATTGCATTTAGCAGTTGATAATGGACATATTGATGTTGTGAAACTCTGCTTGGAAAAGAGTATGTATGACAGTAAAATTGATTGTGTAGCAAATTGGACACAAGTCTGAAATGAATCAACATTTGTTGAGTTTTATTTCAGAAGTTTAACTGTGACAATATGACAAACAGAATAGAAAGCGTGAACCTCCTCCACTAAAATGTTTTCATGTATCTTTACAATTTAATGAAAATATTTGAATTATTCTGCTCTGGCAATGAAGAATTTTTTTCTGAAATTACTGTTTCTGTGGCAACCAGATTCAGATTTTCCCCAAAACTAAATCGACTGTTCCTTGCCTCAAAGCAGTCCCTCCAAAAAATGTCATATATAAACAGACAAATAATGCCAAATAAAAAAAAATAAAAACTAAAAAAAAAAATATTATGGATAGCTAGCTAATGGTATGGTTGAATGACAACCCATACCAATCACACACAGAAATAATAGGAAAAACAAAAACAAAAAATGTAAAAAAAATCATGATTTTAAATCATTATGACTTCTATACTTTCAGAATCAGATATCAACACGTGTAAGAAAAACTTCAGTACACCTTTACACTCGGCTGCTGCATCAGGTAACTTGGATATAGTGGAATTATTGTTACAACATAATGCACGTATTGATGCATTAGATGAGAACCAAGCCACTCCATTACACAAAGCATGTGCATTCAATAGATCACAAGTGGTGGAATTTCTACTTTCCAAGTAAGTATATTTCACAGTATGTTATACTTTGTTCTATTCTCTGAATTTTTGAATTACAATCATGTGATAATTTTGCGATGAGAACTACGAGTAATGTTGTCATTTCTCCCGATTACAGACGTGCGAAAATCGAGAGACGAGATCAAGATAACTTCACTCCATTGCTGATTGCTTCATGTTATGGACATAGTGAGACTGTCAAGTGTTTGTTAGATGCAGGAGCTGACATCAGTAAATGTGATAAGAATGATAAATCAGCCATCTATTGGTGTGCTGAGGAAGGCAGACAGGATGCTTTAAATGTAAGATTTTCATCATAAGTTTGCTTTCATTGTTACATGGTGTGCTATTTGGAGTACATGCTAGCATTTGAGTAACCTCTTTAGCATCTATGGATTTAATATAATTTTATGGACATGACCCCTCCCCATTCATACGTGTATAGAATTAACGTCATTTCATTGTCATGACTACCCCAGCTGCCTATGTCTGTTCCCATCACTTTGCTATCGTAAAATTCACTCCAGAACATTTGCTATACGATTTGCCTGCACATTGATTGGTCATATTTTTAATTAGAACATTATTTATTCACATCATTCAAACACCCTTATTTGCATATTAAGTTACCGAAAGTAAACAACATCTCAGTTGGCGCCATCGCCAATATATTCTCACAGATCGAGAAGTTCTTGTCTGCATAAAATCCGTACTGTATTTCGCTTGAAAATACCTCACAATGAGCGGAAAGTTTAACATTGGCAGGGTGGAAAGTTTGTTTTTGTTTTGAATGTTTTGACAAATTAATGCTTCGCTGTTTGGTAGATGTTCATGACCGAGCCAACGACTACCATGCACCTTATTTAACTCTTTTAGTCAGAATACCTACACCGTTTGACGAATTCTATTTTATTGTTTTTCATTGTTTCTAATGTCAGGTGTTACTAGAGGATCCATTGGCTAAAAGTCTGCTGGAAGACTCAGATCGCTATGGCAACGTACCTTTACACATTGCGGCACAGAAAGGATTTGTAGGAATTGTTAAGGTAAAACACTGAGGCCATAAAGAATCATTACATTGCATTGTATACCTATGAAACAAATCTTAGACATGACATAACACTAGCCATACATGTTGGATAGTTGTTTCAGACTCATGATCAATACTGATAGGTCCCACTTTAACCTTAATCCTCTCAGCCCTTGTACTTTTACATTGACCTTACCACACAAGGGTTAAAGCTTAGTTTACCACATACTTAATGGGGAGATGAAGCCATTATTTGTGTATATGACTTTGGTTGGAACTTGATATAGTCGGTGCATGTCAATCACCTTCTCACCAACTAGAACCCAACCTAATCCAAGTGGCACAGAAATAAACATTCCCTTCTTATTTCCCTTCTTATATAGACTTATATATTACCATGTCATTCCTGTTATATTTTTAGATATTA